TTTATTGTCCTAAGTCTTGTACCCAGGCCTCCTACTGCCAAATATTGAGTGCAAATTGCCAATGATGGAATAACATTGGCCCAGAAGATGACAAATGGTACAAGTTGAAAAATAGCTTTTTTGAAATTCTCTTTAGCGACAGTGTCAGGGCTACCTACTTGTCTTCTCCAGGTATTTAAAATAATTTCCCCACCACTTTTCTGTGTTTTAAAAATTGAGTGATACGTTGATAAAATAATTATTTGCTTGAGTTAAGAGCCGTGGACACTTAGAAAAATTTTGGACCTTGAAAGTTGGTAATCACCAGAGGAGACACTTTTTCAAGGCTAGGTCCTTACTCGATTTTTCACCATTTTCAGCACGAAGCAGGTTTTCTTTGTAACAGAACAGTAAATAATAGAAAAATGTCAAGATGTGCCATAGCAAGTAAATTCAGAGATTGTAGGCCACTAATTAAAAGAAGTTATAGTCAATCTCCTCTTTTGCACTCCAATGATTTTCTGGGGGGTGGGGGTTGGGGGCTTATTAATTCTTTCTACATACAGGGTGGTTTCTTGTTTGAAGTTTTATGTTTAATCAACTAAACACAGTTTTTCTTAACTTTTTTTTTTTACATAAATTTATTTCATACAGACTGAGGTTTATACTGTGAAGTACTTTCATTCGTGTCCCTGATTGGATGAAGGATATTTTTCACAGTTGTTCACTTTGTACATCACAAGGTAAATCTCAGTTTGTATAAATTGAAAACATCATACCATAGAAAGTGCTTAAACAATTTTTATTCACAAGTTCTGATGCATCGAAAAAAAAAAAATCTCATTCAATGGGTTCACTTGTCCGTTTTTTTTTTGATACTATGCAACTTGTGCCTAACAGGACGAAAAATGCGTGTACTGTAAGTACCTTCTGTTGTCCCCATGCAAAGCCTTAGAAAACTTTTCTAAGGCTTTGTATGGGACAACGGGAGGTACTTACAGTGCACACATTTTCGGTCCTGTCATGATAAGGATTGTTTGTGCATTATTTCCATGGAACAATCTCTACATATACAACAAATGCTGTCCTGTTGCTACTCATCAAAGTCATCGCTATCTGAATCTTTAGCACTCATCTGTTGCAAAGAACTTGTCATAACATCATGAATTTTATTCTTTTTACGCGGATCCTCCTCTAAGTCAGTTTTTACTGCACCAGCTTCAGCCAACATCCATTCTAATTCTATGAATATATAGAATTGTGGTATCAATATTGATCTTTGAAAAGGAAATAAATATGGATTACAAATGTTTTTGTTTATAGTTGTGCCAACATGAAGATATGAGATAAAGGGTTGGAAAAAGTAGCTCAGAGAATTAAAATTTATAGAGAGAATTCTGTGTAGCAGCTGATAATTTAGTTATAAGCATGTCTTAGCTAATGTTTCTTTTTTTCAATACAACTTACCTTCAATCTTGAGATTCATTCCTCCAAATGTAAAAGGTCCTACAAATTGTTTTTTCATGTCTTCCTCGCAGTAGATGAATATTGTTGGAAGATGTCTGTCAGGATAGTTGGGTATACATGTCGTTGATATACTCTTTAAAAATTTTGTGGTTGGAAACTTCTCAGCCAGCTGAGTAAGGAACTGATTTATCAGTGTACATAAAGGAACACTTTGCCAGGTTAAGGAAGAGAGGTTGTTAAATGCATATTTTGCGAATAATAATGGTTATATTTTTAAATTTCAAGACATTTTCAGCACTCCCAGACATGATTGTCAGCTAACTTTTAAATTCCCAAGATCTGATTTTTAATTCTCCCCTCTAGCTGCTACAAATCTCTATTTAAGATGACAATTTTTACCTGTGATAAGTTTTAAAATTCTCATTACCTGTTTGCTGGATAATGTAGGGGTATTATAGGGAGAAGTTACATGTTGATCACTTCTGAGAGTTAAAGAGTTAGGGTTTATCTTTTTTTCAAGTGAAAGGTTTATATGTCTTTCCAGAGGAGCATTCTTTTGTGACATGTGCCAAGGATAACATTTCTACCATGTGTATTTTTCACATATTTATATTATAGGAAAAAAAATTGATATTAATGGCTTTGAGGAGTTTAAGAGTTAAAAAAATGCAATCTTGGAGCCTTGAGAGGTCACCACATCAAGCAAAAAAAAATTCTTGCAAAAATACTAGCATTCTTATATGTGCAATATTGTATTCCATGATAATAGATAACTGCAACTCTTTTTTTTTTTTTAAGGAGACTGATGCTTATTTATTACAGATTGACAGATGTGGATCACAAAAGGATACCCAGTTTTGTAGAGATGAAGAACAACCCAAACTCCTTTGCCAGCTTTATTGACTTCCTCCACATAGTCCTGGGCAGAAATCTCTCGAACATCACCAAATTTGGATGCCTTCTGAAATTTCTGTATTTCTGCCATTCTTTGCTGTCTTCAAATAAAATATTAAATAGGAATTTAAAAAAATAATGATCGAATATAAAGAAATGGTGATTCCCTTCAGAAGATGATGTATAAGTGTTAAAATAATCCAAGCTACAAGTTGTTGCCTCATGTCCCTAAAATTTTAGTGAAAAATGTTTATTCTTGCAAAAGGATTTTGCACCTACAGAGAAACTTTGAAGATGCTCAAATTAAGAATGCAACTTAACCTTCAAGCTAGTGGATTGCCTCCACTTTCACAGGAGAGTTAGAAGGGGTGAGTAGGAAACACTTACGAATAATATGTTCTCCTACATTCATAATCAAATATTTAAAACTTAGCAACTAACACAAATTACAACAATTGGATGGAGGAAAAAGGTAACAAAGAGGGCATAGGGTCTCAAAGGAAATCTGTAACACGTTTTTACACTCAGAACTACCAGTTTTAGGACTAAATTTAACCCATTCTGAAAATGAAAGTTGTTTAACACCATTGATGATTTTAATACACCGTTACAGTTACTTATAAATTAAAGGCTCATTTTCATATGTAGAAAGAATTCCAAGCTATCAGCAATTGCACTGTTTCCAACCATCCCAGATTTAGTTGTTAATTTTTGGTGATGTTTGTCTTGAAGGATTACAGACACCACTTCATTTGTGACTCAGGTGTACTGGAGCCAAGCAATATAAGACGATAAGCAGTGAGCTAAAATTATCACTGATGTCTCCAACAGTAAAAATGAGAGTTTTAATATATCTTCAGTGATCTCTAAGCATTGCAAAAATCTGGGACATCTCGTGAAAATACAAATGCCCCTGATTTTCCAGATTTATTGCCAGCCAACCCAGAAAATAGGGAATGTCTTTGATTTCGAGTCTTCATTAGGCTTAAAACTCTGAGACAGTGCAGAAACAATGAAATCTCTGCCCCTCTGGGATTTTCCTGACATATGAAAAACCAGCCTTAAAGTGAGAGTAAAAATAGGGAATTTCTTTTATTGACTGAACTGGAGTGGCAAGTATTAGTTTTTAACTCCTTAACATCAAGCATTTTTATTATAACTCAGCAAAGCTTTGCCACTTTCAAATCAAAGTTTTCATTACCTAATATGGTAAAAGCAACTTTTTCATTGATACCACTAGCTCTGACGTCCCCCTTATGCCGAAATAAGAAAATTACATCTGTCAAAGAGATTTTTTCCTACCTATACTGTAGCAAAACACGTTCATCTTCTTCATCTTCCAGTTCCTCCAGTTCCTCTAAAGTCATATCCTCATACGCTTTCACTATGTTCCCTGTTTTCTTTTGAACAGTTTCTTCCACAAGATCAATAAGTTGATCTTCGCTAACTTCTTTTTCGGGTAAAATTCCGTGTCGACGTAAGGCATCGTTCCATTGGGTATCCTCACTGGGATTCTGCATTTCTTAGTCTGTTGACTCTGATATTTTACCAATGACGAGATGCAAAAAGTGAAAGAATTTTCTTCAACCCTCTGCTGATTCTCTCCTCTAACTTTCCGATAACTCTTCTTGCTGATGGTCAGCAGCTTTTATAACAAAAGTTGTATCCTTTGTGTAAGCTTCGCCAGGTATTTTGAACGACACAAACACAAACGTAAACCAATCTTACTCTATACCGAACTAATGGCCATTTTAAAAAAGTACGTTTTTTTTCCGATTACCAAATTGAATTCGAACTATTACTATTTATCGATTCTTTGCAGAAAATAAACAAAATTGTGGTAAAGGGACTAAATTTTTGAAGAAACTTTGGTGCAGCGCCAAGATAATTAGGTTTTACCAACTGAGTTATAATGTAAATAGTTGCTAAAGTAGACGTTGCGAGCGCTAGCCTTTCGTCAGCTCATATGAGTAGAGGAATGTTGAGTTGTGTCTGTTTTATGTATAGAAAGATCATGAAGATAGAGGGACGCTATTTATGCTGGGAGCAGGGTAACATGAAAAATACAAGAATGGTTAAACGAAAAGCGTCCATTGATACCATGGTGTTCAAAGAGCATCATTTTGAAAGAGGAATTTTGGTTCCAGAATTTGCAGCTTTTCGAACTGCCCAAAGAAAGGCCACAGACTATCATATGTTTCTTAGAATAACCAGGGAGATTAATTAAAGTATCTGGCGAAGAATAGGAAGTTTTCCTTCTACAAGAGACACACCAAATGGACGATAAATAAGGGTTAGTTGTTTTCTAGCAAACGTAATTATTTGATTTTTTTAGCGCCATTAATGACATGCAACGAAGCTCTTTTAACTTTGAGAAGTTGGAAGGTTCACTGGACTCCAATCCTCGAACGGCTGTATATCGGCGTACGTGTTTGCTAATGTGGGGCTGTGAACTTCAATGAAAATCTCTTCCGTTAGCAAACAGAATTAGAGCTTACTGATACGTGGGCGGGTTGCTACCTGTTTTCTTCTTTTCCCCTAATTTTTGCTAAATTTATATGAACTTTCGTCGACAAATCAGATTTGCAATTGACGTCATCATGCTCGTCGGTTATGATCTATGGACTTTACCGGAAGTTAATAAGGAAAAAAAAGAAAACGAACTTTAATCATGAGATGAATGCTGTTATCCCTCAGGTCACACGATTATATAAAGAAAACATTCTTTTCATTTCATGTTCTGACCTGTCACCTATGCTGAGGGGATTTTCCACGAATTAACAGTGATTACTTTTCCTAAAGCGTGCCGGTCGAGGGAATGTACAGAATCGTTGTGTAGAACTGAAAAATCAGTTTCAAGTCTGAGAATTTAGCCTAGAACTTTTAGGGAAAGTGTTATCCCTGCAGTGGTAAAATTTTTTGACGAAAATGCGCATGCACCCATGGAACGACTGCGCTGTCCTTCGCACGTGCGTCATAAGAATGATTCTCTAGAAAGAAGCTGCTCTCACTTGCAGTTAAGATGAACATTACCCTTACACTCTCAGAAATAATTTTTAATAAATTTCTTCTTACAATATCGATACATTATCCAAAAAACAGGTAACGAGAAAACTCAAGGTTATCAGATAGTTTACAAGATATTGTGAAGCAGCTAGAATGAAGAATTGCGGGTCAAATCGGGGGAGTTAAAAGGTGAAAAAGCTGCTTAGATCAATCGGGTGAAAGATAATGGATGTGCACGTTTTTTGGTCAGTCCTAAGGGTATTCTCTAATTATTAAGTTTTCTTCATTATTTTAACTGATCAGAACTATTCATATTAAGATCTAACAGATATCCAGTCTGAAGTTTCGGTTACGAAATAAAGACTGAAAAGGCTGGCACTTCAAACGATCAGTGACCAATAATTGATTTATTTCTTCGCGCGCAGATTTTTGCAGTCACTCGGTTTTCTCTTAAAAAACTCGCGCGCTGTCCCATCAAAACTGCGGAAAAGTTAGTGAAAAAAGTTTGGCTTTTTAACGCAACAATTTTGAAATACTTTTGTACGTTTTCACAAGCGTTGACGTATTTTTCCTCTAGTAGATCAGAAATTAAAAAAAAATTTATTAAACAATTTCTCAATATTTTCCCCTTTAAATTTTTTCAAACGTACAAGTTTTCTCATCTTCTGATCTTTATGACTTCAATTGATATCTGATGTATCTCGTGATAACTTCTTCCCTTTTTTTCAGGTGAATGTCACGTAAAGACTATCCATTGTTTTAAAGCAAAGGATCTTAATCCCACAGAGTACTTAGTTGTCATGACAACTGATGATTGCGTCGGTGCACGACTGTTATAAAGGTCAGCTACTCTTTCAAGGTAGAAAATTTAAAAATGCTTCTTAGTTCGAATCTCCGAAATATTTTTGCTACAATTTATGGTCTTGAATCGCAAACTTTGGTTGAAAAATTCACCAAGAGCCACCTTACCGATGTTTCAATGCTCTGATTCACAGCATACTACGTTTTTATTCATCGAGTAAACTAATCCTCTAACATTTCAATGGCAGGGGGATTAGTAATTGAGTTTTTCTTTTATATGAAGATTAAGCCACCACAGTAACAATAAACCGTTCAGGGGATTACTTGAAAAATAATTAGGTATGAGAACAATTCAATTAAGAGCAGCAAGGTCCATTTACCGCTTATCACGAAAAGGTTACAACGAGTGCTGGGGGGGAGGGGGGAGGGGTACTTCGCGACATTTGCAGCCAAGGGTATGTGCTCCTCTAAAGGATATGGTTTTTGAGCCATTTTAGTCAATCATTGGTTGTCAACGCGGAAATATGAGTGAGTAAACGTTTATGAGCCATTTAAAAGCCAAATGAATAATAACAGGAGCCCATCAGAGGTAAAGCCAAGTAAAGCCACGTTCCTTCCAGCTGTCGCGTAATCTATACTGACTCCGCAGTCCCTGGCTAACTAGATATCAATCGAAGAAGACTGTAAACAATCTTCTTTTCCAAGACTAATTCTCGACGACGTTTTAAAAGTTCTTTCGTTGTAACAGTTCAAACGTTCTGACAAATTCAACTTAAACGACAATCGACTACGGTATTCACAGTTCGCCTTGCGTAACTATTGGCTAGTATTTTTCTTACAATCACGAGTAAAGTAAAATCCCGAGTCAAACTATTGTAATATATCTTCATTTAATTCTTCTTACCCAACAGCACGTCTCCCCTTCCTTATTAGGAGGACTAAACGCGTGCAATTACAACATCTCTCTTACAGTAAATCAACTACGGACTTTGTTTACAACATTATGAAACATGTCCCACTCTCTAAAACAATCATTTACGATTTTGTGACATAATTAATTTTTACTAGGACTCATTTCGTAACTATTATTCCTTGACATTAGCTGCCACGGCCGCAAAGAAGCATGAAAAGAATTCAGGCTTCGACGGGCCCAGATACTGCCAACTGAGCTACAATATATGAACCAAGCTCGCGCGGTGCTAAGAGCGGGAAACATTTGTAAGGGTTCTTCTTTCCTGTGCAGGAATCTTCATTAAGATCATGAGAGAAAAAAGGAAGCAAAGCGTATCATCTGAGCTTAATTCCGTCACGGCTTCGGAAGCAGTCTGAAGCTTGAATACGGCTCTGATCCAGTGCGCCTATCAGAAACGACGTATTTCAGAAGCAGGGCTGACAGCAGATGTGGAAAATGGCATGTTTTAGGCCGTAATGGGGTCAGGATTTGGAGAACTGATCAGGGGGACTCCTGCCAAGAATCCTGGGGTGTACCTCCGGGCGTAAAAAGTGCTCTAGAATGAAGTTTCATATTTAAATTCAGTAACACCTCAGTTCTTTAACATTTTCTTTGTTTTCTGGGCCTTATTCCACAAAATGCACATAAAAGAAACTGATTAACATTGAAGACAAACAAGTGGACAGCGGAAACCTTTGTGCGGGAGGTCGAGGGTTCGAGCACCGGCCGGACCAACACTCAAAGTCTTAAAATAATTGAGAAGAATTTGCTACCTTTCTAAAACATCAAGAAATGGTTAGATATTCTAGTCTTCTCGGATAGGGACGAATAAATGGAGGTCCCGTCTCCTGCAGGGTTGGGGTAGGAGACATTAATTTCCCACGGACGAGATTACTGTGTGATGGATGTCCTCCCCTGGGGTGGGATGGGTGGGTTTACTGGGCCCGCAGTAATTGGCGCAAGCTGTTGCTGTGTCCCTGCCGGTTGGCGAAGCTAAATAAACTAATAAACTAGTAAGTACATCCCGTCAGAAAAGCGACATTAACCCAACGAATGAAAACGTTTTCGGTGAGCTGTTAGTTATATTTTTTAGTGGTTTATACGTTAAGAACTTCAGCACGGTAGATCATGAAATGATAGAGCTGCCTACTTGCAATTTACGTTCAGTCTTGCATTTTGACGCTGTTTAGTGCTTTGACTTGAATTAAAAGCCTGCAATATTTTAAGACCTTTCAAAGCTTCCGATAGATTCCTCTTAAAACTAAGGATAAAAACTACAGTGGCCTTGTTGGAGGTCAGGTGCTGCTCTAAATCAAGGTACATGTTGGGCTGTTCTGTATAGAATAATAAGATTATCTTGGCAGACTGATGTTCTGGCGTGGTCACGTGATCAATTCAGTGGACGTGACTTTTGACTGAAAAACTCTGGCAAATTCGACGTTAACTAAACATTCTGCCTAAGGCATCCCGCAATGAAAAAGAAAAGGTGAACTGTCGAAACTGTGAAGATAAGCCGCCAAAACCACGCACTTCAGTTTAGCGCCAACTGAGTCGCTATTTCACGCCGGTCGCACTGTTCCAGGTTAAAGGTTCCGCAAAATATTTGTTTCCGTCCTTTTTCTGTTTATTTTGTGGCTGGTCTTTTTCTTATCCGGCCTGATAAGGAAAGTGGGAAATAATTGGCGGTTTTTCGGACATAGAGATGGTTAAAAAATCCTCTTGGATTAAAGAATGATTTAAGTAGAAAGCATTTCACAATCTCTGGTTTTATGCCTCTTGCAGTTCAGCTGTCAATACCAGTTGGTCAGGAGAAATGGGTTGATCAGTGAATGATGGTACGCGTGGAGAAAGAGCTAAGTTTGAATTTTGGTGTTGATGGAACGCCATAGAAGAAAGGTCAACCTCGGCAATGGTAGACAATAAATACTCGGGATGTGCTCCTAGCTGTAGTAGGAGGGTTTATCATTGAGTCTCTGTGCCGCTGTAGTTGTGAGGAGTTGAGAAAAATATGATTTTGCATTGACGCGGCTGCAAAATGGTGAACCTTTGCTGACTCAACAAGATAAAACTATGTTCGGAGAATTTTGTGGGCAAAACTGACCTTGAATAGATAAAAAATTCCGAAAAAAAAAAAAAATGTTTGTGTTACAAAATACAAATACTGGCTCCCATTTCCAAGAAAAAAGGTTATTCATTTACCTTAATACAACAAGCAAAGAGGCCCGCCGCGCAGAGTAAGGACACCTTCCATCCCCCGCGAGTTCGTTCATTGACATCAGTTGCAACCCTAAATGTCACTGAGCGCTTTTAAAACGGATGTTTGTGGTAAGTCGGATAGCTAAGGCTATTTCTAAAAAGAATGAAGAATAAAGTAATTCAACAATTCTCTCTGTAAGCTATGACCAGCATTAACAAGCTAGGACAAGGGCGGCGTGACCTTGTGCACGGGCTGGCTGCGCGAAACTTGATTCTTGTGATACAGCTGTAAGAGATTCTTTCATTCCTCAAGATAATTGTAATGCGAAACACTCAAAAAATAGAGAGCTTTTAATCTTTGTTATCATAGAATTATATGATGGAACAAATTAAGTGGATGAAAAACTTTAAACGGACTTTCCTTGTGTCACTCAACAAAGGATTCGATGAGCGCGCGGGCAGATTGCCATGAACTATTTGAACTTTTAACCTACAACAGTCTGAAAAGTTATATGATTTAAAAATCGTGCTGTGTTTTTACAAAGAGCGTCAATCACGTTTTTACGGCTGATATGTAGAATAAATGGCTATTTGGAATGTTTCCCTAAAAGCTGTGAAATACCTGATCCTTTCATAAACATGAAACACAATGCATACTCCATATTGAAAGAAATACAATATGTATCAGGAAATTTCGACCTTCACAGCACCTTGTTCGTGCATCCCCACAGGGCAGTGAAATTATCATACAATTCGAACAAGGATTTTTTTAAAAAGATTACCCGTTTACGATGACAAATTCTGTCAACGCAAGTGGGCTAATTAAGCTAAAGCGGTGTAAGGGTTTACCGATAATTTTCACCGGATATCAAGTTACCGGATGTTACGTCAATCTCGTTACAACACCGCTCTACCCTTAATAAATGTTTGCTTATGCAAGGACATTCAGTTGATAAATATACCTCACAGAAGTAACAGGTCAACTTGGCGTTAAAGGTAAAAGAATTTCCATATCGACAAAGGACTCGCAAAAGTTATCATGTCTATCCCTGGAATTTCAGCTTCAAGCCATCATGGTTCGTCCATGGAAGGATCTCGTATCACAAGGGTTTATTCGATGCACGAGGTTGTGCTGGAGTACAGTGTTGTTATCATAACGCTGGGCTGTTTTCTTCTGATATCCCTATCTTCAAGATTACTGAAGGGAAGTAACGGCTCTAAATGTCTACCAGAACTTTGTTACTAACTTTGCAAAGCCAACAAGTTCATCCCATTGATAAAAGAGGATCTTGGTGTGAGAAAAGTTGAAGGCGACGATGTGGCGTTATAGCAAGGACAGAAGCCTTCTCTAAGCCGGAAAAACTGTAGAAGAACGATTTTCTCAGAAGACTAGTTGATACCAGCGTGGGAGACCAGTTGATACCAGCGTGGAAGAGAAGAAGTGTTTTAACCGAACAAAAACTAGACCCATGTATTTATTGACTGCGACAGGCCAACATTTTGGGATTCAGTAGTTTTAACGAAACATTGTCAACGCGCTTTGGTGACAATAGGTGCTATCAAAATTGCAGACGGTCCCAAAAATGAGAAAATTCTCTTCATTTTTCAATTCAGAGCTGAATTTTTTTTAATGTATGTTTAGATACGGCAAACAATTATCTGCTAATGTGTAGTGTTAAATTCAGATAACTTATCATGCGAAGTTTCACTGTATACCTTCTCATGGACAAAGCCACGAGTGTACACGCAGATTACAGTTATTTTTATTTATATTTTAAGTCATTACATTCAAAATGTACAAAGTTATTTCTACGAGAAGTATTTAATAACAAAATCTTTGAAATGTCAAGAAAAAAATTGAAATATATTATTTATTGAATTCTATAGCTGATTGCAGTTACTCGTGACTATGATTTTTTTTTTTTTTTTTTTTTTTTTTTTTTTTTTTTTTTTGATGAAACAGCAAATTGCACAGAGGCGTTATTACAGAACAATGTAATTTTCCTGCCAGTTCCGTTTGGCAGGTTCCTCCCTTGTGCATCATTTCCGGTTAAATTTTGCAGAAATAAAATTTCACTTTCGATAAAAATTCCGCGTAGCGACCGTAGTTCCGTTCAACCACCTGAAATCCTGTTCTCGTGAAATTCGTTTTATCTTTTACAGTTTATTTTCACAGCAACTAAAAGCCTTGTTTTTGTCCATCTCTAAACAGTGAGAGAATGAGTGAAATATTTTTAACATATGTGCGTTTAATTTTTTGTCATTGTTGCAAAAGAAAAATCCTGTCTTGCCTAGGTAAAAGTGGTGATCGTGAAGAAGATTGCATCGAGTATAGGATTAATTAATTAGTTTAGGTCCAGCTCAGCGAATGGGCTTCTCGAAGAGATTTTTTGAAAATTGGAATCGCTATTTGTGTCACCATCGAACAGAACTCGGAGTCAAAAGATCGTCCAATGTAGTGTTATTTTCATTTACTCTGATAACTGAGATATTCTATTGCACACAGGGCATGTAAAAACATGTCACCAGAATAGAAGAATTTATGGTCCTCTTACTTGCGGGGGATGTGTAGTGTATGTGTGTGGGGGGGGGTAGGGGACTGTTATCTAAGCTAAGCTCCTCGTAGACATCAGAGTGATAAAACAACTGCAGCAGCATTACACAACAATCACACAAACTTTGCAAACTCATTTCGTGAACATTTTCTGGTGACTGATCCTCTTCGACTCGGACCAACGGAGTAAGAGAACCGCTCGTAATTACTCAGACACAGTGAAACAGTGCACAAGGGATCGATTTGAACTCAAAGATGCCCGTATTTTAAATTTTCAAAACATCTAAATAAAGGGGAAGTTCACAAGATTGTTTCTCATTTGATAGCAACATAGACCTTGATATTCGGTTTTCTCTAGCCATATAGATGAAGGATTTTTTTGTGGGTATCCTGTGGTCAAATGAATGCTGAATCACTCTGTCGCGTTGCGTGATCGCGTGATTTGTGTGAGAGTTACGAAACTCATTTACAACCGAGGTAATTAACGAACACGACAATTTTGACAGCTGGGAAATGGTTACGCTTTCGATCGATGACCATTTCCTTTCGGTCTACCTTTTTTATGGCGCCATACTCCTGCTTAAAACTTGGATAATGTCGTTCTTAACCGCGAGGCATCGCATTGCAAACAAGGTGAGAAAACCAGTGAGTTGTTATCATAACACTATCAAAAGGCGAAAACCTTCAAGCTGGCGGGAATTGGGAACTGAAAGAACACGAACTTAGTTTAACGTTTAAAACTTAGGTTGATTAAGAGATCATGCTGTTTTATAAACATTTACTGATTGTGTGGATTGGATTGAGTTGCAAACAACATGTGACGATATGCTCCGCATTCCACAGCTGTCGATCGATATTACGAACTGTGACATGTTGTGTGACATTTTGTTATGTCAACGATTCCCCGTATGTGCCATCGGTCAAAGGAAATCATAAGATCTTGACTGGAATCAAAAGATGTTAAAGCTAGATAGGGAATTCATTCAAGTGTTTCTAAAGTAGAAGAAAGAAAGGGGACTATAGAAAATAATAATTGACTGTTGGTAAGGGGAGTCTGTTTAGAGCCACTTGGGAATCCGCCCAGTCCCCTCCCTGGTTGTGGGATGTAACCGTTTTGTACATTTGAAAATGATCTGTTTAACCCGTTCAGGGCCTCGTTTCCTTTAAGATTTTCTTTCTTGTGGCCTCTTTTTTTCTTTCTTCATCGAAATACAGGCGTTTCCAAGTCCAGAGGACTATAGACGCAGACCTGTTCCGATAAACGCTGATGTAGAAAGAGTGAGAAGGTATAACTTTGAAAATTTGCCCTTTTTAAAATAAATTAGGATCGGAAAGATAAAACTAACAAAAAATACGTCGATAATTTTTATTTTCATTGCAGAGCTCATCTCAATGATCTGGAGAACATTCCAATATTCATGATTACTGCGTTGTTGTACATGTTTTCTGGCATGCCAGTCACGTGGGGTATTTGGTGCATACGGGTCTTCACGGCCGCCATGATCTTCCACACTATAGTTTATCTAAACGCCTTCAGCTATCCAAGGGCTGTGAGTTTTGCGGTTGGTGCATGTTGCACAGCGTTTATGGCCATTTGCGTGTTATATTCTGCAATTTGAGCCGCTTAAAAATGGGAAATAAAATAGTAGAAACTACCAGTTTTAAAGATTCAATTCGGGGTAAAAATCACAGACTTATTCCCAAATCCTTATTGGCTATCGGCGTTGCTTTCAACCTGGTAGCTCTAACGTAAGAAAGCAGAGGCACCAATAACGCTAACGATGTTGACATAAACAACCATCGACGATGACAATGACGATTACAACGACGATGACGATTAAGCACAGTGACGACGACGATAATGATAAAAACGACTACGACTTTGATAATGATGTCGGCGATGACGGTGACGATCACTTTGATGATGACGATGACTATGACGATGACAATGAGTAGGACTTCAATGATAACGATAACTTTGATGACGACGACGATGACTATGGCGATGACGATAACGATGACGATGACAATGAGTATAACTTCAACGATGACGATAACGATGACGATGACAATGAGTATGACTTCAATGATGACGATGACGCTGACCATGACGTGCAATGATAGACAGATGAAGACGATGCGATGAAGATGGCAATGGTGACGAATGAGTATCGAATGGACAAAAAACACCGATTAAACAGTCTGAATTCTTCAGATTTAGAGTTCTTCAAATGGTTGGCAGGCGTAAAGTGGGGAGGAGGAGGGAGGCGAGAGAAGGCCGCGCAACGGACGCCACCTGTGAGGCAGCTCTCTTGGCTGATAGTTTTGTGAAGGTTTGAGGAATTCGGTGCAGCAGAAAACGAGCGGAGAAGCTCCGCAATCTAGTTCCCATAATCCATTGTAGGCTGGACATGCGAAAATGAAAATGGTTACAGTTGGATTGGAGGTAAGTCACATAAAAAAAACTCGGTACAGCTAAAAGATTGTGTGACATTCGAGTGTTCCCGTGACAAAGACGTTGCTTCTGTTGTTTGCTGAGGTGTATCTCGCTGAGTGCGCTCTGTCGCTTGTCTCCTCCCTGTTCTTTGAACAAAAAGTTCCAGTATGATAACACTTAAGATGGATGACCGTTTTCTAGCTGCTTATCTCTTTTATGGCGCCATGGTTATGCTGAAGACGTGGGCAATGTCTTTTTTTACCGCAAGGCATCGCATTAGAAATAAGGTGAGAACATGATACTTGAAGCGCTGACCACACATCACTAATTATTGAGATCAAAACGCGAAACGTCCCAAGAACTAAAACATTTATTCCACACTTAAGTATCTATGAAAAAGCTGTGCTTACCAAGCCAATATTTTTACTGTTTGGATGGTAAGAGTTAATTAATAACCGTTTCCAGTTGAATGTGCGTGGGATTTGATTTCGGAACTAAACCGTTTTAACATGGTGCAATCATTGCAATGATTGCATGCAGTTCTAAGCACAAGCACAAAGCTTGTCGTAGATAAATTCATAAGTAAATGACCTAAAAAAAAAAAACGATTTTAACAGAATTTGGAGAAATATGCGATAATAAATTAAGCTGAGTCATATTTGCATTGGTTAACCGAACACCCCGCCTGCGAGCTTTGAGCGAACTACTTGTTACCAGGTCCCCGATCTTGCGTGACAAGTCGCCAATAAAAGAAACATTTCAATTTGCGTGCAACAAGATCAGCCTTCTTCAAGTTCCAAAATGGTTCCCTTGACTATAGATGATCGTTTCCTGTCTGCATATCTTTTATATGGCTCTTCACTCATGCTCAAAACTTTTGCCATGTCCTTTTTAACCGTGAGAAAGCGTGTGGCGAACAAGGTAAGACGCAAATTGCGTTATGCGCCAAGATTGTACAATAATCATTTGTTTGTAAACTCGAGTCTGAGTTATGGAAAATTTAACTCCTGAAACTGAAGTCGGTTGGAAACTCTGTTGTCCTTAAGCTCGGGTTCTTTCCATCTGGATGGCAAAAGCTAGAAGATTTTTTAGTGTAAGAAGCCTAGGATTTTATTTGGGAGGGCGTCAAGACGCGATCGTACCTTGCAAGGTTATGTAAAGATTGCTTTCGGTGGCGTACACGAAGCTATAATCAGAGATAACCATATGATTTAATGATAGTTAAGGAAACCAGTTTTTCGCAGACTAATGAATACACAAAACAATATCTCTGAAAACTCCTTGAAAACTGATTGTTCCCCAAAAGCTGTGCAATTGCCTAGTCCCAAGCCTCATCCGTAACCTTGTGTGACAATGCAACTGTGAAAGAAACCTTTAATTTAGAGTTACATAGGAACAACGGTTTCAAACTTTTAAAATGTTGCCTCTTTCTGTGGTCGATCGTTTCCTCTCCGCTTATCTTTTCTATGGCTCAGCGCTCATGCTTAAAACGTGGGTGATGTCATTTTTAACCTCGAGACACCGATTGCAAAAAAAGGTTTGTTTTAAACTTTGCTCCGAGCAAATGATCTCAATTAAATGTTTTCAGCAAACAAAGTGAAGGGTGTGACTTAAGCTCGCAAGCATGATGGCCATAAATCAGTTCTTATTCAGTGATTTTTCAAAAAATTGTTCTCTACTTTTTGCCATTCTTGATTTAAATAAGAATGCATAACTCATGATTGAAATGTTCAGGTTCAGAGCCCTGATCGGCGTTTAATTCGCTTTCAAGGCTCGAATCGAAGGGTCAATGAGCCTGTCTGCCGACTACCAACCGTGCATTTTACTCTTTAAACCAATCGCCACAAGCATTTAATTACTTAAACGACAAAAGGATGGAGACTGCATTGAGATTAAAAATCTTTTTCGAGCTCGCTCGCCTGTTTGAAAAATGTGGAACGAACATGAACAAGTGTAGATTTGGAGAAAGTTACCTCCGCGCGCATGATTTTTAGTTTACCATCCACCTTGCTATTGATGAAACTGTCGTAAAAATCGTTACGAATGGGCATTATTTCACTTGCCATTAATGGAACTGTTGTAAAAATCGTTACCAATGGGCATAATTTCACTTGCGGCCATTCAGCCAAAGCTTTATGGCTCGCTTTGAACAACGAGCAACTGAATGAGAAATAACAAGTGCCTCTGTGCAGAGGTGACGGATCGGAGCAGTTTGAAGTGCCCTTATGAAGATTTTTAAACAATTTCTATAATGTTCGCTGCATGAACAAAGGTCGGAGCTGTCCAAATTAAAAACGTCTCACCACCTGTTATTGTAGTTCGTCAAATAGTGATGATCCTGATGAAACGATTTGAAAAGATCAAAAGACTGATTATAGTTTTCTGAACTTCTCTTGTGTTGAGCCAGCAATATTGTCGGCACAGAAACCTGGCATTGCTTAGCTCCCCTCCAATTTTCTCTTACGGGGGCTGTAACCCCTAACTCCACTGCCAATGCTGTAATTCAGTGTGAAGTACAGAACGTTCTCTGTATTTCACAGTCCAATTTATTCATTGTGTCTTAGAGTGGCTAGCTTTTTGTGGGTTCTAACCCTTTCACATCCAGGAGTGACAAAGTTAGAATTTCTCTTTACAATACCAATACAATATCTAGCAGACAGATTTTTTTCACCCTTTAGTAATTTCAGCAACTTGAATTCTGCAGATAGTCCCAAGGACTGTATCTACTAGCTGAACAATATAAAACCAACACACCATCTATTTGTAGGCTCTTCCAAGCTCAGAGGACTATGGTAAAGACAATACCAAACCAGTGCCTGTAAATCCTGATGTGGAGAGAGTCCGCAGGTATACAGCTGTAAATTTCATCTGAGATATGATCAGTATATTATATGTACTAAGCTGTTAAAATCTATAAAATTGAAAAGGAAGAAGATAAATGCATTGGTGCCAATATGTGTGGTTCTGAGTAGTGTATACAATATTAATGGCTTCAAGATTGTTGGAAAGTGACCCAAAACTTTTCTTTGAAAATTGTTTCAAAAGGTGCCAAATGGCATTAGAATTTGTCTTAACTTATCAAAAATTTCCAGGGGAGGATGCCTGTAGACTTACCTCTGTATCATTTTGACACTCCACCATCACTGCTGCTTTGGGGCTCCCTTACTTTAAAATTCATTACCACACAGCTACAGCTCCTGCTCTGGAAAATATTTATGCTTTGTACAGATAAATTGAATCTTGGGACTGGAAGAGCTTAGTTGAGTTTTTAACTGTTTCAATTTCAGAGCACATCTGAATGATCTGGAGAACATCCCAATCTTCATGATTGTAGCCCTGTTGTATGGGTTGTCTGGTGAGCCTGTGGCAAGAGGCATTTGGTGTCTGCGTATCTTCACAGGGGCTAGGTTCCTGCACACCATAGCTTACCTGAATGGCATCAGTGCACCACGAGCCTTGAGTTTCTTAGGTGGCTCAGTTTGTACTGCAGTTTTGGGTTTCAGTGTGCTGTACTCTGCTGTCAAGACTGGCGTGTTTTAAACAGTTTTAAGGCTGATTTCCTCTGAGAAGTTTGTTTTACTATAAAATAAAAGTAACAGTGCTTTTTTTATTCGGTTCTCTTTCACTTAGGTTTTTAGTAAATGGTACTACAGTGCCAGAGTAGTGTGTAAACATGAGGTAGAAATAAGAATACTTTCTGAGTCCATTCTCCACTTCAGTAGTTTTTTAGCTCACAGTAGCTGTGTAGTAAAAACTAAAAGAAAAGCACTAGAGACCACTTTCATAAATGGCTGCCGGATTAATATTCTTTTGTTTAAATTTAAATTAGCCCTTCTGGCCTCGTTCTCCAGTGCAAAATTCAAAAGAATACATTATCTCAAGCGAGGCCAGAAGGGCTAACTTAAATTTAAACAAAAGAATATTAATCCGGCAGCCATTTATGAAAGTGGTCTATATTTACTGATTGAACAAATCAGTGGTCTCTTTTTCTCATCCCAACCATCCAAACCCTCCAAGTGTCCAGCATTGAGTTTCTTCCTGCAGTAATACCCCTGAATCATCTATTATGATCATAAGAAAAGATGATTGCCAAGAGGCTCTTAATCATTAGACAAATTCTCTTTGTAAGCATTACCAGAAATGTATAGAGAACAGTAAGGAGAATTTGCTTACTGATGTTAGGTTGTAACAGGATAAGTAACCCAACACAATATTTGATCATGACAGGTCCCAGGTGTTTGCATTTTTGTCAAAACCCTTCAATCGACAGGAGTCACTTATATCTAATTTCCCCTACAGTACCACTTCTGAATCAAACAGTAAGGCAGAGAGTAAAGTAATGGTTTCTAAACAAAAAGAAGCTCTGGATTGTTAGACAATTTCTTATCAATGCAATGGAAATGAATAGAGAACCTCATAAGAACATGAAAAAAAAAAAGTCTTTTTATAGGATTACACAATTACTGGTGAACCAGTAGTTTCCATTGTGGTCCTCGCAAACACATGAAACAAATGGTCTAAATTGAACATATCATTAAGAACATGATTAAGAACCCCAACCGGCCGGAGGCAAACCAGTTACTCATGTTGGCATTTGAAGGATTAATCTAGGATTTGGGAAGGGATATCAGGGTGACTTAAAAACCAATTTTTCTTGGCCTAGTTTTTGTTGCCATGGCATTGAAAATAAAATCAAGATTGTACTTTTTCCTTGTTGTAGAACTTGGAGTGACACAAGACTTGTGACATGACACTGGTGGCCGATTTTGCATTTAGGACACTAGTTGCTGATTCTGGGTTTTGGACATTAGTGGCTGATTTACAATTTTAAACACAAGTGGCTTCTTTGCAATTTTGGACACTAGTGGTCAATTTGTGATTTTAAACACCGGTGGCTGATTTTAGACACTGGTGGTCGATTTTGGATTTTGAACATTAGTGGCTATTTTAGATTTTGGACATTAGTGGCTGATTTTGAATGCAGCACTAGCAGCCATATGCAGTCTGAACAGCCAATTTTTACTTCATTTCTATCATGTTTCATCAACCAGGGGTTTCATTAATGTTTTCAGCAAAAGGGCAACTAGTTTTCACAGGCAAGCAAAACTCTTTGAACTTAACTTCTTTATGAGAAACTTTCCTCCACATGATCAAACAAGGTGGGCAAAACCGTCCTCATGACTGGTCAATTTGCCCAGTGCCAGGCCCTTAATGAAACCCCAACCAACCCCTTGAGACAAATCATTCAGAACAAAATAATCAGACAAATGTACTGGGCACTGTCAGATGTAATGCACTTTTATTTTTGTTTGTACAAATTTCAGAGCTGGACTTTCTACTTGGCCTTCTTTGCCTTGATTTTACGCACATAAAACTCGAGTTCTTTGCCCTCAAGGATGTAACCGTCACATCGTCCACTCTGGCCAGGTCGGGAGGACACACAAGCTTTGGAAATGAAAAATATAACAATCAATGTTAGAGTTCTTTAAAAATAATAATAGTCTGAACCCAAGAGTTGCATAACCTATCAGAGTCATCATGGTTGCCACAGTCACTACTTTTTAAAATTCCCTAACTTTTTCCTGATATGTAAAATTTACTTACCATACAATCGTCCGGTAGTAAACTGCTCTTCAAGTTGAGGTGAAATCTTGGCTGCTGTTTTGCGTGTCTCCATCTTGTGTTGACAGTGACGTGATCGTTTTTTGTTCAGCACATCACTTTCCTCAATTTCAACCTAAAATAGAATTCCATTAATTGAGGATCACGGTAGAAATCAAGACTCTTCCAGTGCCCTTCACACAATAGCTTCACCACATCTTGAAAGATTGTTGTTGCACATCAAGAAGCTTGTAAGAACAAAGTTGACATTTTTGTAATTTTGACATGGATCTCAGCAAAAAGTTTTTATAACCCGGTTAAGCACATGTTTTTGTGATGTTTAGCTCTTGTTGTATAGTTGTTGATAGGAAGAGTTTTCTCCTTTAATTTTGTTTGACATTTTTTTTGAGCAGAGCAAGATAAAAAAAAAAGAAAGAATAATGCAGGGACCCTATTTGTGAGTAAGTTAAACACTTCGCTTGGGAGGCAACCGTGTCAGCTACATGGTATTTCTTTGCTGGAGACTTGAAACATTTGAGTGATTGATGTCAGGATCCTTTGCATCATAGGTGAAGGGTCCACATAGGAAAAAGAATGAATAATAGGTAATACAAAGTACATACTGCTTTAGCCGTCTTCTTACGACCAAGGGGCACACCATAATGAGATTCATACCTGAAAAAAATAGAAAATCATGGTTTCCATTAGAACAACAACAAAAACAAAACAGTTTTACACCTCCTAACTTAAGTTTTTTTTTTTGTTTACAAAGTATCCAATTGGCAACCTAGCATCAGTTACTGGTGTCTGGAAATAAAATCTTAAAATTTCTGTTGAAAACTAATAGAAACTCTGCTAAGACTGTTTCTCCTGCCAAAACTTCACTGAGCAGGTCCACATCAGGACTTTAGTCTTGCCTACCTAGTAACCTGCTTTATCAAATAAACCATGTATGTATGTATGTATGTATGTATGTATGTATGTATGTATGAGCTCACTTCTCTCAAGAATAGAAATATTGTAAAAGAACATTCAAACTCACCACTGTCTGAAAGGAGTGGAATCTACTTGGACAATGCAGTTCTTCACAAGAGTCTTGGTTCGTACCAACTCGTTGTTACTGGCATTGTAAACAACATCAATCAGACGAGTTTTGCGAGTAACCCCTGTAGATCGTGAAAGGAGAATTCTTCAATTCCATGCACGAACAGATCATACTACAAAAGGCGACTTTCCTTATGATTAACCCTTTCACTCCCACAAGTGACCAAGACAGAATTTCTCCTTACGATGCAAAACAATATCAAGAGGACTAGTGATGAGATAAAAGAAAATTATTAAAAACTGGATCATTGGATTATACAATTTAAGACTTTTCATTGGCTTAGCCATTATGGTCCATTATGGTATATGCACCAATATACCATAATCTACAAATATGCTAAGCGTATGTGTCAGCTTAAAATTAAAAGGGAGCAAAAAAATTTAAGATTATGTAAGATTGTCTAATATGTGAAGGCGTAGTCTGATCGTCCGGGTGAGTGTAGTCCTGAGAAGGACTGTTGTCAGTGGTAGTGATTGACATTTTGACAACCTGTGCGGAAGTCATCATCAGGGTCTGATGATGACTTCTGCAAAGGTTGGCAAAACATCAGTCACTACCACCGATAACAGTCCTTCTCAGGACTACACTCACCCAGACGATCAGACTACACCTTCACATGTTACCCCCCAGGTTCAAGCCATTTACTGCATTGTCTAATATCTTGGGGGCGTTTTTAATTAAACATTTATTCCACTTGCGCTTGTTGGAAATGAGATGATTATAGCCAACTCGGTGCTACGCAACTCGTTGGATATCCATCATCTCATATCCAACCTGTGCTTATGGAATAATTGTTAAATACCAACTAGAAAATGATTAATTGATCAGACACCAAATTCTCCAAAGTAACATCATATGAATTGTATGGCAGACAGTAAGGAGAATTACTAACGAGATCTCGGGAGTGAAAGGATTTAAGTGCTGCATTTTTGAGCAGTCAGGGTAACTATGACAAATGGTCATAAGAGTGACAAGATTACCAAAACGGTAAAACACTCTTCCACTTCATAATCTTTCATCATACTGCCCTTGTATCAAGTTTTGGCCTCAGTGCTTGAAGGGCTGGTTAAACCAATTTTCAAACATTGTCGAAAGTAACCCGAGATTCCTTTGGTTTTGCTTTACTTCGCTCTGTGACTGGTCCAGAAAATTTGTGCCAATCTCTCAACCAATCAGAAGCAAAAACAAAACCAATCTCCACTTGTTCACCCATGATTGGTTCTTAGAAGTATTTTCCATTCTTCTGACTGGCTATTGTAATAATGTGTGTTCTGGTTTTACCACACTTAATCAAACATTGTCCTAATAGGTAATGTCCACCATTCCCAAGGTCTCTGTTTTCTCTTGAGGAAGTGAGCACCTTTGATGTGAATTTCTGAGAAGACAAAAGCCTCTATTTTTTAAGTCAAAGGCAGGGGGGAAAAACCTTTGATATGAAAATAATTGTTTTGTTTTCATCTTTCAAAATTATAACATGCACACTCACACGTTTTAAAAGCAAGGTTGTTTGGAACCTGGAAGACTGAATCCATTAACACTTTCACTTTCAAGAGTCACTGTGAGGAATTACTCTGGGGTGCAGTGTTACATTTTCAAGGAAAATGGCAACAAGGGGAAAGTAAAATAATCACTTAAGTGTTACTGTTTCATCTCGCTCAAAATTCTCACAAAAAAAATGTAGGAAATGTATGACGCATAGACATGTACGACATGTGAAGAGAATTGACATTTTGATCACACAAGCAAAAGGATGAAAGAGCATACTTTCTGATCCCCATGAGTAGTTTCCAGTGTCCAGTCTCAAAGCTCTGAATTTTTGGTTTCCTCCACGAGTTCTCACATTGTGGATTCGCTTGCTTCCAAGCTGAAAAAGACACATTACAAGTTATGACTCTTTGACCCCTGATCATTTAATTTCTCCCTCTCAACAGTATCACTCCAGCATCAAACACGTAAGGTCATGAAGATGGTGAAAATGATTGCAGGGTCAAGAAGCTCTTGATTGTTCAGCTAATTCTCCTTGGAAATACAACAGGAAATGTATAGAGAACAGTATTGAGACCTTACAAACCGATGATAGGGTGTAAAGAATGAAAAAAAAAAAAAAAAAAGAATTAAACCACAAGCTTCACAACATCTACTGCAAAACAAGAGCTAAGAGAAACATTCCGCTCTTTTCACATTGAAGGCAGAGGTGGGGCATTATATGTACTCACTGACTGAGTGGGAAAATATTTCGTTAACAGGGAAAATGCACAGACAAAACACAGAGAAGTATTCTGCACTAACCTTAGTATTGGCTGGTGGTCGGCCAAGTTCATATTTCCTCTTTTTACGGATTGCCTTTTTCTTGCCACCAGTACTACGCCTCTTATGCCAAGAATCACGGGAAATTCCTATGATTGGGAGCCAGTCACATGTTATCAAGGAAAGTGAACTCTATTGACTTTTTTACTGTAACTTTTAGAGTTGGCCATACTATATACCTTACCAGAAATAAAACTACAGTTGAAAAATAAACAAAACAAACAAACAAACAAAACAAAACAAAACAAAACATACAAGTCCCAATTTAAGAAAAAATAATCTTAACCACAACAGATTTGGTCTGTAATAAAAAAAAATGCAAGCAATTGATAGAGCACACTTTCTAACTTTCTTTCCATTTACCAGCCTGGTAACCCATGCAGGATGTTAGAACCCGAGAAAAAAATTTGTGAATCATGAGCCCAAGGTGAGTGAATTACACACTTTTCTTGTGTTCTCACAACAATCCAACTGGGTTATAATGCTGGTAAACTGGTCGAGGGTGCAGTCGAATGCTTCTATAAAATTCACATAAAATATTTCAATTTTCTATGGGTTTAACCGTGATAGATTGGGGTTTTTCATCAATCAGGTTGCTTATAGTGTCTCAGTTATTTTATAAATGACAATAACTGACAGACAGTTAAAGCCTAATCACGAAAACCAGGATTTGCTGCTAAGCTGAAACTAAACAGTTAGTCTGTATATTTTTACATTTTGAACAAAGTATTGTTAATTAGCAAATCATAAAATCAACAAAAAATCTGGCTTTTTGCTTTCCCAAAGTTGTCTTTAAGTACAGAGAACAATTCCAATGTGTAAAAACACGTGAATTTCAAGACCTGATCAAAACACTTCTACGATGACTGGTCTCGGGATACCATGTCTGAGTTTTCTTTATTTACCCTACTAGGTTAAAGATAAAACTGTTTAGAAATGATCATCTTAATACTTCAGTTTAATTTGCACTTAGCGATTTAAAACTATCCCCTATTTCATGAATTACTTCGAATTCTAAAATAAAGATGTCGATCGTGGTGCATGCAATACAGTTTGAAATTGGTCTCACAACTTCGACCAAAGCATACGTTTCCACGATGACTATACCGAAAAGTGCGCTTAAGGGTATATTCTACCCCCTTGTTAGGACAGAAAAACATGATGTCAACACTAAAGGCAAGATTGGCTGGATTGAAATCAACGATTCCTTCTTCACTCACCCATCTTGGACGGCAGGACAGAAGAGGACTAATAAGTGCAAAGCAGCCTGGGAAGTACTACAAAATTTTAAATCTAGGGAGGGGTAGGAGAAATTGAAACTTTCAATAGATGTCCAATATCAAACGTTTGAGAAACTTTATCCTGTAAAATTTTTCCTAATGAATTATCTTAAGCTCTATTTTTACGCATTATGTCCGAAGGAGGCAATATTTTCTCGAAATTTCTTCAATTTTCTCATTGCAACGCGTTATGAATTTCCCAGTAGGGGAGAGATGGTATAAAATGTCCACTATAAAGTCCCAGTAGCTCACGTTTCCAGGACGGCGCCATATTTGCCTCGAACCCTGACTTTCTTCACTGGAAACAACCGAGTTTGCTAGAGTAGCCCTCTCATCTCAACATTTGATCTAGCAAATGGTGAACGAATTTTGAAAAGCAGCTCTTTTCCAGTTTCAAAATGGAAGAGCTCAAAAGGAAAACCGACGTCTTGTTGCGTTCTGTCCTCTTGAGTGTCGGTCGTACAGGACTTGCTCTCCGTTTGTTGGACAGGGAATACAAGAGCTTTACCTACTCCTCACTCCCCTACAAAGAAATGGGCTTCTCAAGCCTTGAAAAATACATTAAGAGCATCCCTGAGGTTGCTTCTCTCTCAAGGGATGTCGATGGAGAGTATGTGGTGCACGGAGTTGCAAGCGAGGCGGACAAACATGTAGCGAAACTTATCGCAAAGCAAAGGAAGCCAAAAAGAAAAGCGAAAGCAAAGGCCAGACGACCGGTCCATGCGTCGATGCACAAACCAGGTGTAGGGAGATCAGCAGCTCTACACAGGGCTCCGATGAGGAAGTCCCCACAAGCAGTACCCTTTCGAGGAGGAGTAGCTCCCTTTCGAGGAGGAGTAACCCCCTCTCGAGGTGGTGCAGCACCTCGGTTTGTTCCGCCTCGAATGATGAAGCGTGGGGCTTCCCAGGGCTCGAGTCAATCTATAACCAGGGCTATGGTAGAGCAAGAAATTGCCCAAAAAGTTCAGCAGCAGGCTAAAATTATGGCAGCTCCTGCTTCATTAAACAGCTCTAGAACAGTTCCTGTAGTTTCACCGCCTGTTTTCATGACAAAGTTACCTCAACATCCTGCTGGAAATAAGATCAATGGAATGGCCTCTACTAATAGACAAGTTACTGTGGTCTCACATCAAGGTACGAGTGTTTGTAACTGGTTAAAGATTTGCATATTATCCCATACTATTCCAAAACAAAGCCATAGTCCCATATTGTTTTTGTCATTGATGTCTTTATCCAAGAACTGCGTGTATAATGAAGTATGTGGCTGTATGGAAGTCATGCCACAACTGCTCTGAGTGGAACATAAAACAGGAAGATCTCAGGAAATATATTTTATAAACCATGAAGAACACAGCCAATTTGAAATCGCAAGGATCATTACCCCTGAGTGCTGTGTACCTATTGAGTAAAAGGGCCGGAGGGCAGAGCAGTAAAAAATTTGGCTTGAGGTCATGATATATGGACCTAGGGCCATAAGCATGGCAAAGAGCCAAATACATTACTGTCTGATGCAACTAAATTCAGTCAATAAGTATTTAATCATATGACTGCTAAGTTTTGAAAATTTTTAACCTATATACTTGTTGGACACAATTGGACGTATAACAAGGGTACATGCAGAATGACTATAAAGACATTCTGCAACAGAAAATTTTCCTGAGTCGGAACAAGACAATTCACCCAAAAAGGAAACCTATTTTAAGTCCACAATGAGAATTCTTCTTGGAAAGTGTTTTTTTTTTTAGGACTGGCTCATATCAACCTGTGTGGTCCTACACTGGTCAGCTTTCTTTATGCTTTTTCAAAGGATTGCATGGTGTATGGAGGTTTTGGGCCATTGCAAGTTTTCTCCCATACCACCTTTGCAAATTCGCTCCTTATATGGTAAAGAAAGTTGCCCCCGACCTTTAACCTTTTTTCCTAACAGCAAAACCATAGTATCCATGATTAATTTAGAATTTTAATATATAGGTTTTGTATTGTTTCAATCTATATAAATGGAAATAATTGTGGAAAATTGTCGTAAATGCCGCTAGAAGGAAATGGATAGACATTCTAGTCTTCTTGGATAAGGACGAATAAATCACAGGCCCCATCTTCTGCAGGGTTAGGGGTAGGAGACGTTAATTTCCCACGCACGAGATTAGAGTTTATTTAGATTTACACACGACCCCACAAGCTGTTCAGCTTTAAACATTATCGTGTCTAAATAAAGGTGTTATTATTATTATTATTACTGTGTGATGGATGTCCTCCACTGAGGTGGGATGGGTGGGTTACGAGTGTAATGCACCTTTGATCATTACAGGTTAAAAGGTGCACTATAAATTGATTAATTATTATTAATTATTAGAAAGTGCTCAATACACATTAGTGTAGAGTGAAATACAAATTCAAAGTGACTGAAATGAAACACATGATTCCCTGTAACTCTGAGTTTCGTGCTTTCGCACTCGTCAGTCAGATTTCAGCATACTTATTGGCTTCATTATAACTATGCTTTATTTTTAGAGAAACCTCCTCATAAGAAAAGCTGGAAAAAGAAAGCAAAAAGTCCAGGTATGTCTATAAAATTAACTTATTTGTCCCTAAGATTTAATTCCCAGGACCTGATCATTGATTCTCTTCTCTAGCTTCACTTCTGC